GTGAATGAGATAGTTTACTAAACTTTTCAATGGAGATTATGAGAATGTGATTGATTTTAGTGACCTTAACACCTTAAATATCAATAAAGATTTTTTTTATCGTCATATTAGTAAAATCGAATTTAAAGAGCTTTAAAGAAAATGAAGTGTGAAAAAGTTGTTGGACTTGGTGATATTCCAATAGACGTGTGGAAATGCTTAGGAGATGAAGGAATTTTTTGGGTTACTAAACTTTTTAATATTATTTTGAAGCATAGAAAGATGACAGATGAGTGTAGAATGAGTGTGTTGATTCTCATTTTTAAGAATAAAGGTAATACACAAGATTGTGTGAATTATAGAGGAATTAGGTTAATGTGCCATACTTTAAAACTATGGGAGAGAGTTATGGAGCATAAGTTACGGTGTGATTCAAATGTTTCTCACAATAAATTTGGATTCACGTCGGGAAGGTCAACAATGGAAGCTATACATTTATTAAGAGGTTTGATGGAGAAGTATAGAGACAATAAGGAGGATCTCCATTTGATATTTATTGACTTAGAAAAATCATATGATAAAGTTCCATGAGAAGTGTTGTGGAAAGTTCTAGAAAAGAAAGGGATTAATAATGCTTATATTCAAGTCATTAAAGATATGTATGCATGAGTCGTTACTTATGTTTAAACACAAGGTGGTTTGACCAACTATTTTCCTATTTAAGTTGGATTACTTCAAGGATCAGCCTTAAGCCCATATCATTTTTCTTAGTCATGGATGTTCTCACTAGACATATGCAAGAGGTTGTACTTGGTGTATATTTTTTGCTGATGATATTCTTCTTGTCGATAAGAGTAGAGAGGGTATTGAAGGTAAACTTGAATTATGGAGGTCAACCTTAGAGTCTCAAGACTTTCATTTGAGTATATCTAAAACTAAATATATGGAGTGTAATTTTAGTAATAATATATCTAGTTGGGGGATTGTGTTTTTGGGCAATCAAGTTATTAATGAGAGTACATATTTTAGATTTCTTGGGTCTATTGTTCAGAGTGATGGTGAAATAGATTGGGTTATTATTAGTAGAATTCAAGTTGAATGATCAAAGTGAAGAAATTCATTGGGCTTGTTGTGTGATATAAAAGTCCCCCTCAAATTTAAGATAAAATTCTATAAGATGGTGATGAGACTTGCAATGCTTTATAGTGCAGAATGTTTGCCATTAAAAGAGAATCATAATATTAAGTTAAGTGTTGCAACTATGATGAGGATACTCAAGTGGATGAGTGGGTTTACTCCTAAAGACAAGATATAACATGAGCATATACATACATAAGAATGTTGGAGTAGCCCTAGTGGAAGATAAGATTATAGAGAGTCACCTTAGATGATTTGGTCACATATAAAATGAGAATTTAACACAACACAATGAAAAAAAAGAAATATTCATGTAACCGACCCCACATAATGGGATAAAAGCTTAATCTTGTTGTTGTTGTTGACATTAAGACCAAAGTCTGGGTTGGTCAATTAACAACGCTATTATATTATATGGTGCCTCAAATATTAAGTATACATTTGAGACATGAAAAGATATGTAGAATTGATGAAAGAAATTTTTTTTTGAAAGTTTTTATGATTATTATCAATTTTTTCATTTTTGAATGGCAGAACACCAACATTTTTACAGCTATCATAATCTGATAATAGGTTGCTTGTCCTCAAATATTTTTTAGAAAAATAAAAATAAAAATGTACTAAAACAAAAACAAATTATCTAAAAAGCATGATTGTGACAAAACTTTCCCAAACATACATAGTCTTTATTTTAGACAACTTTCTTACTACTTTTTAAAGCAACTTTTTAGTATAGATATTTTTTGAACTTGAAATCTTTGTGCTAAAAAGTTGTTTTAAAAACAGTAAAAAAATTGTCCCAAACAAAGCCATAAAATCATTAGGTGTAGACTACATACAAAGCTCTACCTGCAAAATATTGAAGTACATTGAGCCAAAAAAAAAAAATCCACATACTCCGACTTTAACCACTTAAATAGTTGTGAAATTTACATACATACCACTTTATACTATTCTATTTATATATCTAACACCTAAAACTTTAATATTACATACATTCAACCTATATTATTTTAATATCAAATATGAGTTAATATCAAATATATTACTCATATTTCCTTCCTACCACTCTTACATTTTCTTTCTACCACTCATATTTAAAATGAAAATGAACTATGAGTGGTATGTATGTAATATTAAAGTTTTAGATGTTAAATATGTTGAAGCTGAAAACTTCCTCCTTCGGTACCTGCATACAAAGGAAATGCAAAAAGCAGAGAGAAGAGGAATAGTGAGTCAAGCGTACCTCCTCTGGATACCGAGATATATTATATAAAAAGATCAAGTAATACAATCTACGGTTGTGATGTCATAGCAGGTAATGAACGGCTTATAGTTGTGCCGTACAGTTCGTTGGTAAAGTGCAGGAGGAGTGGAGCCAATACAAGTGCAGGAGGAGTGGAGCCAATACTTTTGCAATAGCTAATACCCCCCTTCAAGCTGATGAGGGTGAGTGAATGGTCAGCTTGGAACGAAGAAATTGAAACCTCGTATATGACAGACGTTTTGTAAAAATATCAGCTGGCTGATCGGTTGTAGCAATATGATGGACGGTGGCATGTTGAGTCTGAATACAGTCTTGGATGAAGTGATAATCAACTTCAATATGCTTCGTACGAGCATGAAATACAGGGTTATTTGCCAATGCTAAGGCTGAGACATTGTCACAATGTATAGGAGTTGGAGACGACAAGGGAATATTGAAATCAGTAAGCAATCGGCGGAGCCAGAGGACATCTGCTGCCGCAGTCGCTAGTGAGCGGTATTCCGCTTCGGTGGAAGAACGAGCAACAATAGGTTGCTTTTTAACACACCATGAAAGTAAATTAGAGCCAAGAAAAATGCAGAAACCAGATATTGACCTTCGGTCAGAGGGATTGGCTGCCCAATCTGAGTCGGCAAAGGCATGAAGAAGAGGCTCAGAAGCTATAAGAGGAAGTACATAATTGATAGTACTACTGAGATATCTCAAAACCCGTTTAAGGTATTGGAAGTGTACTTCGAACGGCTTGTGCATGTGCTGACAAAGATAATTTACTGCAAAGGCTACGTCGGGACGAGTAATGGTAATGTACTAAAGGGAGCCCATCAGTTGCTTATACACATCAGGATGAGGACATGGAACAGAAGCATCAGTAGTTGTTTGCAGCTTGGTTGGTAAGGGGCTAAGAGCGGGCTTACAGTGAAGCATACCAGCTTTGTTAAGGACGTCAGCTATATACCGAGATTGGCTCAGATGTAAAGCTTGGTCATGCTGGGATATCTGTATACCAAGGAACTGCTGGACAGGCCCAAGATTGCGTAGCCGAAAACTAGTCTGTAGTTGTTCCGACAGGTTGGTAATAGTTTCTGAGCTGTTTCCCGTGATGAGCACATCATCAACATAAACTAGAAGATAAATATAAGTAGCATTTTGATGAAATAGCAATAAGGAAGGATCATTTTTGCTCGGGGTGAAGCCAAGTTTGAGCAGCTGAGCTGAAAAAGTAGCAAACCAGCGCCTCGGAGATTGTTTGAGTCCATATATTGCCTTTCGTAGTTGACAAACATGATTAGGATGTTGAGGGTCCTGAAAACCTTGACGCTGTTTCATGAAAACCTGCTCATCTAAGGTTTCATGAAGGAAAGCATTGGAAACATCGATGTTAAACATAGGCCAACCGCGGTTGGTGGCAGTGATAAGCAGGAGTCTGATTGTAGGAAATTTCGTCATTGGGCTAAAGGTATCTGTGTAGTCAATCCCAAACTGTTGTTTGAAACCTTGTGCCACCAACCGAGCCTTGTATCTAGAGATGGAGCCATCGGCATTTAGTTTGGTTTTAAACAGCCATTTGCATCCGAGAACATTGTGTTTAGGTGATGGTTCAACTAGAACCCCGGTTCCCTGTTGCAGTAGAGCCTGAAACTCCGTGGACATAGCTTGCCGCCAGTGAAAATGCTTACTGGCTTCAGTGAAAGAGGTAGGGGTAACAGGAAGAGGATTAGTATGTAAATTTAAGACCTGCTTCGGTTTCAAATGTCCTGTTTGTTGGCGGGTTACCATATGGTGTTTGGTTGGAGCCGGAGCAGTAGCTGGAAGAACGGGTGGAGGAGAATCTGTTGTGGTTGGAACAGTAGAGGTATCTTGGGTATAGGAGTCCTCTGAAGTGGAAGTAGGCATGAGAGGTTGGAATGCAGTAGAGCTGGGATTAGATAGAGCAGGGGCAAGGGTAAGAGGATAAAGTGTTGAAGATGAATGAGTAGAAGCCGTGGCAGAGTAAGTTGAACGATTTTCTAGGAATGGGAAGTGCTGCTCATAGAAGGTGACATGCCGGGATAGAAGAATTTTACCTGTAGGGATGTGAAGACAGCGATAGCCTTTGGAACGAAGATCGTAACCAAAGAAAACACATGGAAGTGAACGTAGTTGTAATTTATGACGTTGAATAGTTGGAAGCCAATGATAGCAGAGGCAACCAAAAATGCGTAAATGATGATATGTAGGAGGTGAATTATAAAGCATCTGATATGGAGAAGTGTTATGAAGTAAGGGAGAAGGTATCCTATTGATTAGATAGGTTGCCGTGAGAAGAAGATCAACCCAGTATTTAGCCGGGATATTGGCTTGAAACATGAGCGCACGGGTAGTTTCCAAAAGATGACGGTGTTTGCGCTCAACTACGCCGTTTTGTTGTGGTGTATACGGGCAGGTAAGACGATGAAAAATTCCAACGGAGCGCAAGTATTGTTGAAATTTTAAGCTTAAGAACTCACCACCACGATCAGAATGCAGCATTTTAATAGGTAATTGAAATTGTCGTTCAATAAGACATTTAAACTGAAGAAATGTAGGAAAAGCATCAGATTTGCATTTAAGAGGATAGACCCAAGTATATCGAGTAAAATCATCAACAAAAACTATATAGTATTTAAAGTGTTGCATGGACAAAACAGGGGATGGCCCCCATACATCAATATGTATGATTTCTAGACATTGCTTAGATCTAGTTACAGATAAAGAAAAAGACAGTCTATGACTCTTGGCTCGAGCACAGGCATCACATAGAGTGGTACAGGAGTTGGAGGAGAGGTCCTTGGCGAGGAGTTTGTGCGTGGAGAAGGAAGGATGCCCAAGTCGTTGATGCCAGGCGAGAGAACTATTGGTAGTTGATGCTAAGGCTGCAGAGGAACCAGTCGTTCCTGGAGAAGAAGTTGATTTGAGTTTAATTGGGTAGAGACCTTGTTGAGATGATCCCTAAAGCAGCGTCCGGTGAGTCGTGGAATCCTTAATAAGAAAGCCATTAGAATGAAAGATAATGTAACAAGGATTATCATGAGTTAGACGATTTACGGATAGAAGATTGTGGGTAATGTGAGGAACATGCAAGATGAGAGGGAGTGCAAGCTTACTGGACGGCGTGGGTAAGATACCATGTCCAGAATGTGCAATAGGCAGTTGATGGCCACTGCCAACTTGCACTTGAGAGAGTCCAGTATATGGTTGAGGAGTCTGCAATTGCGTCATATCGGAAGTAAGATGATTAGAGGCTCCAGTGTCTAAAAACCAGTCCGAAGTGTACTGTTCGTCCTGAGCCACAAGAGCTTGAGGCTGCTGTGGTTGGTAAGAGAAATTCCCTCGATGCCAACAATTTGACGCGGAATGGCCTGGTTTAAGACAGATTTGGCATTCGATATGTGGGAGAGATCATCGTCCTCCACCACGAAGTCCGTCCTCGGCCGCGACCTCGGACACGACCACGGACCGCAGTTAAGGCAAATGACGAATCCACTGTTGCAGTTGAACTTGTAATATCAGTTAATTGTTCAGCAAGAACATTAACTTCTTCAGTGCATAGTAAGGAATAGAGTTCATCTAGATCAACAGGTTCAACCCTGGTACGAATCGCCGTTTTAAATGCATTGTAGGCGGATGGTAAACCATTAAGCGTATAGAGGATTATATCCTCTGGATCGATAGAGCATCCTGCTGCTCGAATGGTGTCAATCTTCTGTTTGAGCTCGGTCAAGTACTGTTGCATATTATGATCCTTCATCTTAATCTGATGTAGTTCATTTTTAATTTGTAGAATGCGAGACCTGTTTGTGGACTGAAAGCGCTTGTCTAGGGTAGACCAGATGTCTTTGCAGGTGTCGAGTTCAAGAACATATGGTAAAACAGAAGCTGAAATTGTAGAGAAAAGGGCTGACGATAAGTTCTGATCAACCATCATCCAGGTAATGTACGCCGGATTTGAAATTAGAGTATTATTTGGCCCTGAGATTTGTCTTGATGGTTTCGGTGTGGAACCATCGAAGTATCCGCTAAATCCATTTGCAGCAAAAAGCTTGTAAATCTGCCGACGCCAGATGGGGTAATTATCGGCTACCAATTGAGTGTTGAGTACAGTTTTAACATTCGACATTAAGAACTTGAGCTCTGTCAGAATAGACACATTCGTCGCTGCCATTTGCGGCAGGGTTGAAGAAGTGGAAGAAGATTCATTTTCCGCCATTGGAAGAAGAAGCAGAGTAGCAGTTCTTACACTGTTTATGGCCAGATTGAAGAACCTTGCTCTGATACCATGTTGAAGCCGAGAACTTCCTCCTTCGGTACCTGCATACAAAGGAAATGCAGAAAGCAGAGAGAAGAGGAATAGTGAGGCAAGCGTACCTCCTCCGGATACCGAGATATATTATATAAAGAGATCAAGTAATACAATCTACGGTTGTGATGTCATAGCAGGTAATGAACGGCTTATAGTTGTACCGTACAGTTCGTTGGTAAAGTGCAGGAGGAGTGGAGCCAATACAAGTGCAGGAGTGGAGCCAATACTTTTGCAATAGCTAATAAAATATATAAATAGAATATTATAGAGTGGTATGTATGTAAATCTCCCTAAATAGTTTCTACAAATGAAGCTTACGCAGAAAAGAATACAGGTTATAGGTAAAGATGATAGACAAACAAATTCTCTTCATCATAGTTTTATTTAAAATAAATAGTTTCTGGAACAAAATACAGTGTACTATTCGCACCTCATAGTAATGGGAAATTACAAAAATTCACTCACATATTAATAGACCTGTATCTCTTCATGGTAGTTCCAACCCGCAAGCAAAACCTTCGGTGTTATACCTTCAGAAACCTCAAATGAGATGTTAATACTCAGTTCTTCACCTGGCACAAGTGAGAAGTAGTTGTCAGAATAATGAACAGGAAGAATGCGACTGTCAACCGCTGCTTCTTCCACATTTGCAGAATGAACAGAGAAATGGAGGAAGAAAGCTACTCCAGGATCAGTTTCTTCAATTTCAATGATTCTTGAGATCTCTGGCCTTGAACACTGGAGACCACCATCATACTTTTCACCAGCATTCTTGTGATTATTGAGCAAGCTGCCCAAAATAGCTGAGTTTGAGTTCTTAGACGCGTTATGAACTTCGACCTGGATGTTGTAGGTCGATTCGGTGGTCGATACATGAGAAGTAATCTTAAGAGGAACTTTCTTTCCATGATGAAGTTCCAAAGCATTGTAATCAGAATCTGGCAAATGCAACCAGTAGAAATTCCTTGATATAATAATGTTTGAATCAGAGACTCTAAAAAGTTTGAGCAGAAGAAAATAAACAGGTTTTGCGTTTGTTGATTTTGGATAATTCATTTCGACAATTGGCGATACTTTCTTAGCTGCTACTGAGAATTTCTCAGTTACTTTGTAATATGGGCATGCACCGTCAAGATCCCATACTGAAATTTCTATAGCTACATCTGAGAGTTCATTTGATGTAGTGTTTACTACCTGATAAGATGTATAATCATTATATGTTCACTTTTACTAAAGAAAAAAGTAAAAATTAAAATGAAATTTAGAAAGTTGAAGAGAATGCAAACCGTCGAATTTTGCTTTGAGATACGCACAATACATAAATAATTAATTTAAATTTCTATTGCGCTTATGTCCAAGCAAATCCATCATAACCAATAACTTGATCAAGGTATCTAAACCCAATAATTTTCCTCACAAAAACTTTCTAACCTCGATATAGTATGTAGAAAGATTGAGTTGGACATGAATAGGTTCAGCAGCACTGCGGCAACCATAGAAACCTGCTGTTTGATCATGAAGATGATCATAAAACTGACCTCTTAGACCTGTCCATGGATTCTGTGTCTTCCAAATAAGAACACCAGTGTATTTTGTCCACATTCTAGAAGTCCAGCCCTCTAAGAGGGCTCTATATTGAACATAATTAACAAGTTGTGCCTGAAACAGGGTAGTAATCAGAAGAAAAGAATGCAAATAGATACCTTACCGTTGAATCGAAATTTGCTAAAGTATGAAAAGCAGAGAGAAAGATGGGGAGGGGGGAAGCTTTGTGATTTCTTCATGTTAAATAAATAGAAAGGTTGATTACCAGACAACATATTTACGATAAGAACAGATAGATATTTCAGCTCACCTTTTCACAGAAATCATCAAGGTCCTTTGGATGACCATATGCTTCGATCTGGTCATGCACCTTCTCTGGATTTGAATATGGAATGTATTTATGATAGTCCCATATTGGATTTGGAATTTCTTCTATGTACCCAGTTGAAAGTTTTTGAAAAGATGGGATCTGCCATCCTTCTGGTGGCATTGTGGCTCTGATTGTAGTAGCAACTGGTATCCCCACTGAGCCAACCTCAGGATTGAAACCATATTGATAGAAATCATCCTTGAAGAAATCTTCTGGATATTGAATTTCATAGGGACCATCAGTAAAATCACCTTTACCATTTGCAAAACCATCCCACATAGATCCCTGAACATAAGCTCGAGTTCCATCAAGATATTGACTAGGATCATCCGATTCTTCTGCTAAATTATAAGTTTCATCACTGCACTTGAATAGAGGATGGAGCATCAAGTCATTAATGAGAGCAGTATTGATGTCTTTTGGTGGAGTTTGCTCATTGCCACCAACCCAGAGAGCAAGACTTGCATGATTCCTAAGAAGCTTGACAGTGTCCCGCGCACAAAGCAGGAAAAGGTCATGGTCTAATGGCCCATTGGGGTTTGAGATAGGCATGCCTCTTCCATCACAGTCACCTGTTATCCAAAACTCTTGCCAGACCTGTAAATGTTGATTTCTCATCTATAATTTTAGCACTTCATGCATACTACAGCATGTGTAAAAGAAAATAGTGCCAGTATAGAATTTCACAGGAAAGATAACCTCATTTACCAAATATACAATCTTACCAAAATGCCATACACATCACAATAGTGATAGAACTCTGGTCTCTCAGCTAATCCACCTCCCCAACAACGGATCATGTTGAAATTCATATCTGCATGGAATTTTATGTCTGTCATGTAACGTTTAGCTGAAAGCCGCAACAGCCCATCTGATAAGATCCAATTGCCACCACGAATGAAAATTTGTTGGCCATTTACCTTGAATAATCTGCGAAGCTAAATATATGAAGCTTAGAAATTGAAACAATTAGTAAATTTTACACTAAGCAATGGATACATATTAGTATAAAGAAAATGACATGTAATTACATACCGTCCACCAGTTGCTTCATCAATTATACTCTCAATCTTTCGAAAGCCAAACTGATGAGACCATGAATCAGATTCCCCAAATCCTTTCACATCAACACTTAATTCCACATTATATAGGTACTGCTTGCCCATACCATTGGGCCACCACAAATTTGGCTTGTCAAAGAGGAGCTGGCAAGTAGTTATTAAGAACACCTATTAGTTTGGTATAAATATGAGTCTCAAAGACTATATTATCATCATCCAAAGCTGAAAACTCAGCCATGCATAAGTTATTAATCAATAGCCATGACAATTTTAGGGTTTTCATTCTGCTTTTTATGAAAGTACTTCAACACAACAACAACAACAACATCAAGCCTTTGTCCCACTACGTGGGGTCAGCTACAGCCTACATGAATTCTTTTTCGCCAGTGTGCCATGTTAAAGGTCAAATCCTCATTTAAATCTAATAAAGAAAGATTATTTTTAATATTTTCTAACCAAGTCTTTTTAGGTCTACCTCTACCTTCTTAACATAAGTCAAATCTAATATCTCAACTTTCCTAACCGGGTCATCAGAAGGCCTCCGTTTATTGTGACCAAACCATCTAAGGCGACTCTCTCTAATCTTATCTTGCACTGGAGCTACTCCAACCTTTCACGTATATGCTCATTTCATATCCTATCTCTAAGGGTAAATCCACTCATCCACCTAAGCATCCTCATCTCTGCAACAATTAACTTAGTATTATGCTAAAAGCAAGAATAAAAAATACAAGGCAGGAATCAGAAAATTCTCAAGCCATTTATTCAACTTCCAAATTATTCCCCACATTAAAATGTCCTTTAGGAGGTTCTTAAATGATAGAAAACATTGATCAAGGAATTTGGGAATGATATGAGGAAAGGATATATGGTACAAATGAAGGAGAAGTTGAACAATGAAAATAGCAGTTAGCATTTTTCAACATGAATTTGATGTGCTAAGTTTTCCTTGAGGAAAATCCTTTCTTAATGAAATTGTATGTTTGTGCCAATTATTTAAGGCATTTGGCTACTAATTGGCAGTCCATACGTTCTTATTCCACCCCTTCACCCCTCTCTTTAAAATTGTCGAAATAAGGCAACTGAATTCCATTCTTAAAATTTTTTCCTAAAATAAGAATTTGAACAATTCAGGAGCCAACTTGAATTTCAGTCTCTTCAAAAAATGCACCAACATTCTCAAGCATGTGAATCTCGTGCACAATAGCCATCTGCTTAGGAGAATTATTATATAACAAGGGACTGCTTAGGAAAATTACATTATGGTTTCAACTGAAGATCGTAAAGCATAGCCAAAAGCATCTCAAAATGAATTATATTTTCTGTGTAACTGTCAGCTATACTAATTCAAAATAATAGCAGATGAACTGCAATCCGATAAGTCTCCAAAATCCTCAAAATAATATTCTAATTTAACCAATAGGGTAATTTTTTTTTCTTTTTTTTTTTAATTCTTTTTTTTCATTTATCTCCTTCAAAAGTTTGAAGAACTTCATATTAAAGGATAGAAGAAAAGGAGAGAGTATCAGCATAGGAGAAACCATTTCACAACATCCTGGGAGAAACTATAGAATTCACAACTTCCAGACTATGAATGTTTTGAAAGAACACGCTAACATCATTATAGATTCTAGCACAGGTCAAATACTGGATTATTTGAACATTAAGTTAGAGCAGCCATTTCGAATATCAAAGTTAAAGTTTAAGGATAACATCTATCTTATCTCTCAACTAACCAATAAAAATTGCACCAGTCAAGAATGAAGAAAAGAAAACAATACTTTATAGAACAGGGTATTTTAGAAAATGGGTAAATGATCATGTGGGCTCTGAAAATTTCCATTTTGGGATGTGATCCTCAGGGAATTTTCAGAAGGCAGATTGGGTTTTAGATAAGACACTACCCAGAGATTTCGCCCTCATTTGGTGAGGACTTTTTGATCTGAGTTCTGGTTTCTTATAGGCGCAAGCCCCTATAGTTAATTACCCCTCCCGATAACGAGAGAGAACTTTCGATTAAGACTAGTCGTTAAGGATGTCACATAGGTTATGAACCTATTGTATAATAGCAATAATTTTAGGGTTTAAGTTTTAGATTTGAATTTTAAAGTTTGGAATTTAGAGTTTATCACCATAAACTTAAAACTGATGGTGGGGGGAATGAAGACGAGCCCGATCAAGATCCCATGGTTCCGTCGTCCCGGGCTGTCATGATCCCTGGTCTACTTAGTCAGAGGAGGTAGTCGACCCAACCTGACATAAGGCACCTTATCGGCAGCCATGGGTTGCTTCGTCCAAGAATACCTTGTAGACCTGGGTTGATGTTTGTCTAAGGGGATATATATGAATCCACCTTAGCTGACAGAGGGCTTTATGCCTATTGAATATACCCTATGATCCATCGCTCAAGTGTTTGACGCCTTTAGGGAACATACGGGCTTTGGCCGTGATCGTAATATAATGGTGCCATTTTGCGGCAAAACCACCCGATCAGAGGGCGCGTGCCACGTCCCTGTTGGCAAGAGACTGTTTGAGGATGAATCGTAGTGATACTCCCGACAGCATTCACTCTTTGTGAGCTGAGGTTAATTTCAAATTTATTACCCCCGACAAATGGTTGCGGAAGGTGGATGATTTTTAGTTTTGAGTTTTTAGATGATATATTTTATATCAAAATTTTGAGCTTTTGTTTGATTTGAGATTTGACCCCTCCGGTTGAGATTTTCAGTCAACACGGCCATCATCGGGGTGACATTGAGGTCACTTTTATTTTTGCAAGAATTTGGTAGGCATTTTATACTTCAAGTCATGTCGACTCTAGTCCTTTTAAGGAGGAGGATGAAACTTGAATATTTAACCCGCGTAGCATTCTCAGATCGTTGGATTTGAGATTTGAGATTTGAGATTTGAGATTTAAAATTTGACATTTGAGATTTAAAATTTGACATTTGAGATTTGAGATTTAAAATTTGACCCCTCCGGTTAAGATTTCATTTCAACACGGCCATCATCGGGGTGACTTCAAAGTCACTTGTGATTTCGTAGGATTTTGGGAGATATTTTATAATTCAAGTCGTGTCAACTCCAGTCCTTTCAAGGAGGAGGATGAAACTTGAATATTTAACCCGCGCAACATTCTCGGATCGTTGGATTTGGGACTTAGATATTACGATCGGAGCACATGCGGGTAATATCATTTGACCCTGCGCAACATTCTCAGACATTGGCATTTAGAAATTTATTGCATTTGTCGGAGCACATGCAAGGTTGTAGTATTTGACCCTGCGCAGCATTCTCGTTCATTAGTATTTATATATACTTTTAACATGTTAACCGGAGCACATGCATGGATGTATATTTAGTTTAGGGGATCATATAAGTGGCATTTTAAAATATTTAAATATGATCCATTATGTGAGAGTGATTTTATTTAGGAAATGTCTGAAATTTCATTTAAGGGGCTACGAACGCCTTCTGTCCGCTTATACACACGTTGCGGATCCGGTGGCGTTAAGACTTTCTAGATTTCAGTTATTGCATTTAGTTTGTTTTGACTCCTATAACTGTCTTAGCACAGCTCGTAGAGGGTATTTGCTCCATCGCCACTACTAGATCGTGCTCGTGTATATAGGAGAATTATCTTGCTTGTTATGAATTCCCATATTCTTTCTTGTAGGAGATCATGTCTTTGCTTGTAGACTAGTTGTTGTGGGCACTACGAATTTTCTATTCCTACTCATAGGTAAATTGTAGTATTCATTAGAGACTGAAACGCTCTTCTTGATGGCCATTGTTGTATCAACATGATTACTAATAGTTTAATCACTTTCGACATCTTCGCTTATTTCATTCTTTTTAAAATGCTCATTTTTATCCAGGATGCAACCATCATCATCAATATGATTTAGAAGTCCTCTCCCTATTAATTTGACAAGTGCAAGATTTCATGATAATCATCATGTTCTTCAAATTATTAAATTGTAATTTATTTCCTTTATTGTTAAACACAATTATGCATTGCTCATAACATATCTCTCTTAAGAGACTCATAGGAGCACTCAATTGTATGGATATTAGAAGTCCTAACACAATCAACAATGAATAGCCCTCTTAAACTTAACTTCTCCTTCAAAGTCATATCTCATTAATAATATCATTAATTTGCAATTCTTCCAAAATTTATTTAAACATTTTCGTGGCCAGACATACTACCCCTTGTATACAATAATCCTTTAAATGTTTAAGGTCTATTGCAATAAATTTTTGGAGCATTTTGTGTCACATGCATGAGGCGTATTTAATCACATATTAAAAGGGTAATTATTAACAATCACGATCCTCCAATTTTATTCAAATTTTGATGTTATTATTTTGATTGAATAATTTGAGTCATTTTGACTTATCATTCATCGCTGCATGCCATTTGAAGGTTTGTTCTCCATTGATCACATCAACTTTAAGTAGAGTCAGATTTGAGTTCATTGATTTATAAGTCAATATTATTTGTTCAGATTTAATTTAAAATTGATTTTATAAGTGTTTGAATTTCGTTTAAATTAATTTCCAATTTTCTGTCCAAGTGTCATTTATTGTTTCACTGAAAATTTTCGGCAGCCTCCCGGGTCTCCTCCCCACCGAGGGAGAATCGGGACGCATCTGCCAAAATCTTCACCCGGACCTAAGGTCGACGGCGTAGGGGCTTCGGAGATTTAACCATCCCACCAGTGATCTAAATCGATCTGCGGTGAGGTCTTCAATTTGAACATCTCCGCCGATCTAAGATCGACGGCCGGGTCTTCAAATTTTAAAATCCATCCCGGTCGCCTAAGTTACGACAGCCGGGTCTTCGATACCTGTTAAAAATCATTTCATATTCTCCACATCTCATTTCCTCTTATTTATTATATATGATAATATGATTACAGATATATAATAATATATATATAATTAATATAATATATTATATTAGATATAATATATTAATAGAGAGGGAAGAGGAATAGGATCGGAAAAGAAGCAAAAATCGGAAGAAGGCCCATTCGGCCGTAGGCACGCACGTTTTCGGCTATTGGCGTGCGGTTATTGACGTCGGACGCTGGTGGCGGTGGCGGCAGTGTCGCCGGTGTTGGTCGGCTAGAGAGGTC